AAAGTTGTGGACAAGTATCAAAAATATTGGGATACCCATATATCCTTGTTCCTGATGGCTTATCGGTCTGCTGTACATGAAACAACGGGGCAGCCTTCAGCTAGAGTAATTTTTGGTAATGATCTTCGACTACCGATTAATTTAAAATTTGGAATTAACGCCAACGGAGGGAGGAATACTAAGGAATTCAATAGCATCCTAGAAGACGAGATGAGGGATATACATGATATGGTGAGACAGCGCACTAAAATTATGAGCGATAAGATGAAAGCAAAATACGACAAGGCAATAAACTCTGAGGGTTTTATTGAAGGCGATTGGGTATTGTTATATAACCCACAACGAAAGAAAGGGCTGTCTCCCAAATTACAGTGTAATTGGGAAGGACCATACCAGGTTATTAAACGACTCAATGATGTAGTGTATCGCATACAGACCATTGGAAGACCAAGGAATAAAATGAAGGTGGTTCATCTGGAACGGCTTACAGCGTTTGGTACCGCAAATATGTCTAATCGGGACGATCAGACTTAGGTAGAGGGCAGTGTGGCGAACACGAGAACAAATCAGAATTGACGATAAACTGCCAGAAGCAATTAGACATCGAATTCGTAGTTGCCAGAATGTTCTAGTAGCGAACTTTTGTTAAAAATTTACTATATAAGGGCTGCCGGATTGTGCAGCAGACACAGTTCTCGTCTTCTAGGCTGGTGCTCACATCGTTAGCCGTCCTTTTCTTCTTGGAGTTAATTCCATCCGTTTTTCGGATACTCAGTTTCTGGTACATCCCTTGACTTAAAGCTGACTCGAGATTCCGTTCTTGATCAGAACGTAACTTCATTGGAACACCGAATCTCGTTACCCACTTGTTGATGAATGCCTCCGCCACTGGTTCAGTCTCTTAGGAATTGGTTAGGAATTGTGTATACTTGTGGCCATTCGTTGAAATGGTTCTTGACTACCAAAACATGACTATTTCCTAATTTATTGGTGGGGAATGGACCATCTTCATATACGCCTATTTTCTCAACTGGCGTACTCGAATTGTGCTGTTTCATCTGCCCATGACTCCTGGACCTTGATACTTTAGCTACAATGTTCTCAGCATATTTCGCAATCCTTTCTATAGCTGATTGACAACCAGTCCAATGAAACCTTTGCTTCAAATTCTCCAAGGATTTCATGTCTCTCAAGTGCCCTCCTCTTGGACATTTGTACTGCACGTTAAGTACATTAAGAATTCCAACCCTTGGAACAACCATTAGTACTCGGAAGGTTTGCCCATTTTCGTTTTTCCATACTCGATGCAAGCAGCCATACACTAACTTTAAACTGCTCCATTCTGCCCAATATGATTTTGTGAATGGCCTTCCTGTAGTTATTTCTCCAATCGTTGTACATTGGGTCAACTCCACTTCATGTAATGCACCTTCCAATTCTGGATCTTCTTGCAAAGAGTCATCCGTTTCAGGTTAAATTTTATCCTGCTCTTCCACCTGTGAGGACACCTGTGCTGGTATACACGCTTCTTGCTCTTCCAACAGTAAGGACGCTTGTGCTGGAATACAAGCTTCTTGCTCTTCATACTGTGACGACCCTGGTTCACACGCTTCCTCCACTTCCAACTGTGAGGATACCTGCGCTGACATATGCACGTCCAGCTCTTTCGATGCTGACAACTGTGCTGAAAAATCCTCAAAGAACGATTCCAACGCAGCACAAATAACCTCTACTGAATATTGAGTCACTTCCTTCTCTTGTTTCTTTGTTGTCTCTTCCTCTAATTCCGATTGAAAGACATATTCCTCAACATTAATATTCTTTGCTTCCATGGCTCTCGTTAAACTTGGCCATTTTCAATCAATTCTCTCTTTGGGAATTTATTTGACAATCCCACTTCTGACACCAATTGTAACGGATTTCTCGATTAATCGTCTAACTGTAACTTACTCTTGAGTTCGATCACTGGATTGTTAAATAAAATCCCAATTTAATGGCTACACAGTTATCTTGATTTCTAATTCGAGCTTACAACTTCTTGCTTATGTCTTAATTGTTCTTATCACGACAACACTCTAACTAGAACTGTGTTTGCTGCACAAACATTGCTTCTAAAACATTCTGGCAACTACGAATTCGCTAACTAGTTGCTTCTGGCAGTTAATCGTTGATTCGATTTTGTTCTATCATCCGTGTTCGTCACAATATTATAATGCTATGTAGAACTTGAAACTAGTTTGATCGATTTCGGAAAGTACAGGTCGACTGCGAAAAAATCGATTATTTTAAGAGATTTGTGTAAACTTTTAGAGTAGAATCGGAATCAAGTTTGCCCAGAGAACTTAAAACAACGAGAAGGTGCAGGCATCGTATAGGGGGAGTAGAGAAAGAATCAGCTGATGGATGTAAACAAAGCTACAGCTGAGAGGGGTCCATGGAGAAACGTCAAGTCCGCCTAGGGGTTGAGTTTCTATTGATAGCCAAGATGGCCGACTTTTAACCGGAAAATGGTTGCATTTTGCTATTTTCTCTTAATTTATGAAAAAGTTGTCCAAAAAATATTGATTATATATAAAACTTTAATATGTTTTCAAAATAAAATAAGTTTATTTAAATATATGTTCTTAAAAAAGCGACTATTATTGGCAAATTTCAGTATAATTACGATATATATTTATGCCTTTTTTTTTACTGTGGTAACTTAATAAATATTCACCACAGAAAATTGTAAGGTGCAATTAAGCAACTATGTCAAATAACGGGATGCAGAAAATGCTTATTCAACGAAACTGAGGGCAATGTTTAAGAATTTGCAACACAAACGTCGTAAAATAGTGCATATTTAATGCTAATTGCTCTGGATAAAACTGCTCACACAAGAATTTAAAATATGCAGGTGTGTATTAGTGAATAGAATAATAAATAATAACTAAAATTATTTTTTTTTCAGAGGAAACCTGTAGTAAATAATAAAGCAAACAATTTCGCGCACTTTTTATAAGATGAGGAGAATCGTAAAAAAATACGATTTCCTCTCCATTAACTATGAAAAATGGCCTATCCTCTGTCACTCCTACAACCCGGGCAAAATGCACAAAATTTGTCCCTTGGTCACATACAAAATGGCAGGGGTGAAGACCTATCCCCTGAAGTTGGGACACAACTTCAAAAACATATTGTTTCAAAACATCTCCTTTGCAAGATTTATGCACAAAAAAATATGCTAACGGTTGAGACCAAGGCTCCCCACCTATGCCTTGAACCATTAGTGTTAAAACACTTGAAGCAATTCTGGAGGTACGATTTTCATCGCCATAATCCTCCAGGCCTACAATTAAGTCCCTATATCTATCATACTGCAAATGGGTCTTCAGAGACATTTCATCGCAGCATATTGACACGTATTTCTGGTCACTCGTAAAGCCACGGCTACGGAGTTCCAGAGTTTTTATGCTGCTATACGTGCAACCAGGACTTCGTGGCCAACTTTGAATAAACTGTGTCAAAGTTCTTGGTGATGGCCAATTAAAATAGGGCTTTAAATATCTATACGCTAGAGGTGATAAGAAGTGAACCCCCAGAGCTATGGTTTTCAATTCCCTATCATATCTATTACCGAGAAGATTACGGTTATTATTTGTCAAACTATTCCTCACACATGCAGCAATATGTGGAGGCAATTTGCTACATAGCTCAACAATTTGCCTATTCTCATTTTTTTCAATACGCAAACTGTTTTTTTAAGGCCTTAATCTCTTTTTCTTTTTTTCCTAATTGTTTTTTTAATTCTTGCACCTCTCTTTCTAAAGTACTATTCCTTTTTTTAAGGCTAACAATATCATCCAAAATTTTTTTTTCCTAGGTGTCCCTTCACTTAGGTACGCATCTGTTTGTGTATTGCTATTTTTCGCCCCATTGTTTAAATTTCCTAAAGGTAAGGAATATGAGTGTTCCTCAAATACATTGTAATGAAGGGACAGCTCCTCATGTACTTCATATGAGCTCGAAGTACAGTCTCCTATCTCGTCACCGAAAGTGTTTAACGTATTTAGACTGTCCAGTTTGTCAGATTCGCAAAAACTGCCTTTATCTAAACTACCTCCGTCCGAAACTACCTTCACTGTTGGCACTAACAAATTTTTATCGGGGACTGCCCCTTTTGATAACCTTAAGCTATTTTTGTAGCGGTACGAGAAATGCCTATCGCAGGCATACAAATCAGGGCTTTCGAAATCGGATACACCAAGTAGGTGCATCCATTTCATCCGCCTAAAAAGTAAAAATAAATAACAAATATGTTATTACATAAAAAAATTATTTAAATAAATAGAAAAATTAATATGGTAATTGTTTACATAAAAATTTAAGATATTAAAAGTAAAAAATTATTTGTAAAAGAGAAAAAAAAATAAAATAAATCACCGCTCAAATACCAAGCGATTCCAACTGTTCGAAAAAAATTAAATACCGCAAACACATTATTATCGTATCCAGCATTTTTCCACCTATATTTATAAATAAAAAAATATACATACGGGTACTGATTGTACAAGTAAATCCACAGAGGAGGCAATTAACAGACGATCCCAATGTATGTCGGTACATTTCTGGAGAAAAGTTATGAAAACACAGTTACAATATATTAATTAATATTTGGCCATTACTGCAATTTTATATTATATTTATCGCTCATAGTTTGTATTTTAAATTTATTTTTTTCGAATTTAAATTTTTATTATTAAACGCACACCTAGTGTGCAATTTTGAAATTTGATCATACCAAAAATTTTATATAATATATATACATATGTATATGTATGTAATATTTGAACTTAAATTTGAAATGCAAATAGAAATTAATGACAAAAACTTTGAAAAATGTATTAAATGAAGAAATATGGTCAAAAATTAATTATTGAATCACAAAATAGAAGCATTTCTTTAAAATTAGCATAGGTAATAAACTATCGTAAATTCTGAGACATGAGCAATAACTTTTTAATACAAATCGAAAATTTCCTATTTTCCACTTAAACACTTTTACATGATTTATTATAAACCCGGAATACGGGGATCGAAATATACATATCCATATCCATAGTTCCATACTAATATTATAATATAAATGTGAATGTAAGTGTGTTTGTTACGCTTTCACACCGAGACCACGTAACCGGTAAAAGCTAGTATATATTAAATAAACATATAAAATGAAATACTTTACTCACCTGGGCATTTCCCGCACTCCCGGAAATTTATGAAGTCGTAACGAGCCTTTGCAACTTCTGATGCACTTGCGTGGCATATTGCTGTGTAAAAAAGTTCCCATTAGTATTTTCTTTTAATTTGAATTATAGAAAATAAAACTAACCTGTTGATCCGAAATAACTTGTTTGTTTCTATGAAAAAAAAAACCATAAAATAATTATATCAAAAACATTTAAAATAAGACAACTTACCCTTCAAAAAAACTTGTCCGTCCGTTTGACTAAAAGTTGTTAATAAATTCAAATGCCAGTATTGCTATTGAGCAATGCGTAATAGTGTTGCGCAAGCTAATTTTAAATTACTTTTTAAAAAAGAAATATATCTACCGTATTTTATACCCTTATACCATGTTTTATACTATAAAGATATTGCAACTTCAACAAATAATTTATTTTGGGAGTCTATATATTTAAAAACTAAACTTAAAACTATATAACAATATGGTAATTTATTTATGTAAAGAGTTATAGGTAAAATATTGTACATATTATAATCGCTACATGCTGAAAGACAGAGACAGCTACCTGATATGCCTACCGTATTTTATACTATAAAGATATTGCAACTTCAAAAAATAATTTATTTTAGAAGTCTATATATTTAAAAACTAAACTAAGAACTATATAATAATATGGTAAATTTGTATGTCAAAAGTTGTAATAAACTATTGTACATATATCCACCGTTAATTGCTGATATATAAAACGTAAATAAAATTTGTGATTAAATGAATCTATACTTAAATTAGAGAAAACATCGCCACAGTAACTATTTCTTAATATAAGTACAATGATTAATTTTGCTTTATTGTTTAAATGAATTATTATCACTTGTATGACAATGATAAGTTTTGCTTTTTTGATTATATAAATTATTATTACTTATATATAATATCAAATTCTGTTACAATAGTTATTTCTTCCCTTCCACTCATAGTTGAATTGAATTTTCAGTTTTTTCATTAATAAGTTAACTAAAATGCTTTAAAATATGCCGCATATTTACCTATATCAACATGGTATAATATCATATATTGTTATCATTAAACATCAATTCATATCCAAAATTTCAAATATTTATAAATAATTACTTAGGCGTTTTCTGATAAGCGCAACCCGTTTTAACCCCTCGCCACCCTAACTCACCATGGCCACCATGTTGGTTTTATTGTGAACGTACGCCTCAGAGGTGGCGAAACTACTGTGAATGGGACTTTCCCTACTCCCTTATACCAGAGAATGTAAAATATAGAGAAGGTTCACAGTGCGGCCATTAGCAAAATATTTCACGTTTCGAAGGGGTACTGAAAACGATGAGGGTATTTCACCAACTTGGAAGGGGTACTGAAAACGATGAGGGTATTTCACCACCGAACATCAGGGGACTGAAAAATAGCAGAATTGAGCATTTTCAATGTTAATTGAGAAAAATAATGCTAATTTTAATGTTAAGAAATGTACGCTTACAGATTCGTATATTTACAATGCGCAAACGACTTTTCATATAATTTGAATATATTCTGCCTATACAGGGTGGCTAACGAATCGTGCTACAAAATTAAACCGTAAGAAGTTTCTTTTTAGTCAATGCATTACATTTATTTTTTTTATTGTATAGAAAATTTTATTTTATTTAAACAATTAATTATTCTTCCATGCTCAACCACGCATATGCGACACCTAATTCGGGATTGCCTCAATTATCTATTTAATGGACTGCTTCAGCTCAGTCAGATTTCTGGGTTTGATTTTGTACACCTCTTGCTTGACATAATCTGATAAGAAAAGACCAAGCGGTCGCAAATATTCTTATTCAAATATATATGTATAATTATGCGTGCATGTAAACAAATATGAAAGTACCCATTATAATTATTTATTTGTCTGCATGCAACATATGTATGTAAATATGTACACTCATTGTTCCATGCAAAATCTCCGTTGCCACGGACAACCAATGGCCGTAGCTCATGTTTTTTGTTTTCTTGTCAAAGAGTCACTGTGTCGAAGGACTGACGCGACGACAAAGCGTCACAACATTGTGTTGTTGGTAGAAAATCCGAGCTATGCCGAAAAAAAATAACGAACGGCCGCCGATTGTCACCGCTTCCCTTGCCGCTCTAACAGCTTTGCCTACAAACTATCGTAAATATGTATGTTTATGTATGAACATGCATACATATTGACGGAGATTTTTGCCATCGAAAAATATTTTTGAATTGTTAAATATTTTAAATGGACAAATGGCTTTGTTGCCACTTTTGTCACTTTTTTTCTGTATTTTGTGGGCTTGCGGGGCTGCAACTTTTCCCTTCTAGAGGGAACATCAGAAAGTTTTTCAATTTATTTGTTAATTTGTCTACATGCAACATATGTATGTAAATATGTACACTCATTGTTCATGGGAAACCATACACACTTTTACAAACATATATCGCATATGGGCAAGTGCAAAATCAACCCCTATTCATATACAACGTGGCATGCGTAAATGGAAACAAAGTCAACAAGTCATGTGCATATATACGGGCAGATGTGTGTACAAAAAATTCGAATATTTACATTCTTTCACAAGTACAGTCAATCCCTAATAAGTGCTAAAACCAAAGTTGCAGATTTTTTGTGCTTTGTAGTACATAAGCGAGCGTGGTACTTAAGCGAGTGGTACCAAAAAAATAATTTCTATGTATTTAAAAAAAATTACCGTTTTCCTTAAAAAATTAAGGAAAAAAAACGTGAGATGCAGTAAGACACAAGCAGATAAGAGGGATTGGAGGAGCGATACTTACCCGGGGCTTACTGTATACATAAATTAAAGGAATATTGAATATATTCTTTAAAAAGTTTCTTGAATTGTAAATCGACAAATATACTATGTTGTGACTTTTATTCTAAAATTTTTTTATACTCATATTTGAGGGGTTGTCACTTTTCCCTTCTAGAGGGAATATCAGAAATTTGTTCAATTTATGATTTTTAGCTTTTGCCATCGTCGCGAAAAGACGCTTGTAGGCAAAAGCATGCTCGGGGGGATGTGAGGGTATCTGTTTTTATGAATGAAGCGAGGTTGCTTGTTAAAAGTACGCCTGCGTTCATGAATGAAAATGTTGTTGTTGTGTAATTTACTATAAATTTGGGCTTCGCCTATTTGGCTGACATATTGACTTGTGACGATTGTTGTTTTTGTAAAACAATGTTTGTAGTTTTTGCGGGTGACATATTTACATGTGTTTTCTAGACGGAATATCAGAAATTTGTTCAATTTATGATTTTTAGCTTTTGCCATCGTCGCGAAAAGACGCTTGTAGGCAAACGCATGCTCGGGGAGATGTGTAAGGCGTTTGCTTTTATGAATGAAACGACTTAGCTTATTGCTTGTGCGCCAGCGTTCATGAATGAAAATGTTGTTGGTGTGTGATTTACTACAAATTTAGGATTTGTCAATTTGGCTGCCATATTGATTTCTGGTGCTGATGCTATTTGAGACAATTGTTGTTTTTGTACAACAATGTTTGTATTTTTTCTATTGGCTCACATACTTACATTTGTACGCATATATATGTATATATGTGGATTTGCGTATGTATTACTTATTTTGCGCGGTCATATGCATATTTGTACATACATACTTACATATAGAGCAGTGCGCTCACATGTATTTATTGATAATTGATAATATATTATTATATTATATAATATAACATATTGATGTACATACATAAATTATTAATTCTGTAAATATTGAAATTAGAAAATTATGAAAACAGTAAAATATCATTTTTTGCATAATCTTTCACATTTTATCAATGTAGCATTTGTGCAAAATAATAATATTTTCATCATAAAAATCGTTTATATGGCAAAAAATAATCATGCATATGTGAAATGGCATTTGTATTTCTTGTTTTCTCATTCATTTCATTTCATTTTTCTCTTTATATTGGTAGATACGTATTTTGTCAGAGAACGTTGTTAAAAATTCTCATTTCTGTTAAATAACAGCAAAACTATACAGAGAACTTAAAACAATGAGAAGGTGCAAATTGAATTTTGTATGATGCTCGATTGGTTGGCTGAAAATTTGAGATCAAGGAGTTCACCACTTTCTGTAATATTTGCTGTTATTTAACAGAAATGAGATTTTATAACAACGTTCTCTGACAAATTACGTATCTCCCAATATAAAGAGAAAAATGAAGCGAAATGAATAAGAAAACAAAAAATACAAATGCCACTTCACATATGCATGATTATTTTTTGCTACATAAACGATTTTTATGATGAAAAATTGACAATGCACAAATGCTACATTGATAAAATGTGAAAGATTATGCGAGAAATGATATTTTTCATAATTTTCTAATTTCCGTTACAGAATTAATAATTTATGTATGTACATATGTATGTACATCAATATGTTATATTATATAATATACTTGTAATAATATATTATCAATTATCAATCAAAACATGTGAGCGCACTGCTCTATATGTAAGTATGTATGTACAAATATACTACAGATATAATTTGTAGTAAATCACACACCAACAACATTTTCATTCATGAACGCTGGCGCACAAGCAATAAGCTAAGTCGTTTCATTCATAAAAGCATACGCCTTACACATCTCCCCGAGAATGCGTTTGTATACAAGCGTCTTTTCGCGACGATGGCAAAAGCTAGAAATCATAAATTGAACATCTTTCTGATGTTCTCTCTAGAAGGGAAAAGTGAGAACCCGGCAAACACAGAAATCAATGACAGAAGTGGCAACAAAGCTTTTGTCGATTTAAAATATTTCACAATTCTTAAATATTTTTCCGTGGCTCGCAAAAATCTTCGTCAATATGTATGCATGTTCATATAAATACATACATACCTACAATGATTTGTAGGCAAAGCTGTTAGAGCGGCAAGGGAAATGATGACAATCGGCGAACGTTCGTTTATTTTTCGGCACATCTCGGATTTTCTACCAATAACACAATGTTGTGACGCTTTGTCGTCGCGTCAGTCCTTCGACAGATAGACTCTTTGACATGAAAGCAAAAAATGTGTCAACGGAGATTTCACATGAGGAATTGAGTGTACATATATACATACAAATGTGCAAACAACATAATATATGTATGTCATAATATATGAAAGTACATATTTACGTTCATAATTACTTTTACACATGCATTTGAAAAGAAAAATTGAAGCATGAATGTATATGCCGACGGCAAAACACAATTCTG